ATGATACATGCGAACAATTAAACATATCTAACAATCAATTTAAAACATAAAGAAGCCACAAAAGCAATTATACAATAAAGCTTTCGCTTTGAAAGATAATGACCCTGAACCAGACATAGCAAAGGGTTTGACCCCTATGCGGCAATATGCGTTCAAAACTTTTATGCTCAAGGCTGCTGCAGTTCGCAAAACTTATCGCAGTTTGCTGCGTTCTTCATCGATCCACGAGCCTAGTGATCCACCGGAAAGGCTAGGAATTTTGTTTTTTTTTAAATATAAAAAAAGAGTGCTGGCGTCCTCACTTAAGAGGCTCATTAAGTCTTAAACTCATTATAGTCCTAACATGTCACCACATATACAGCCACGGACGTTCACAACTGTATCAGCAACACCTAGACACCAGCGACAGCCGTTACACAACAATTATTTCATTGCGATTCAAAATTGAACATCACATAAAGTAATGATCCAGCAGCAGGTTCACCTACAGCTACCTTGTTACGACTTTTGCCCGGTTCAAGCCACTGCGATTAAATTGGTTTCCATCAAAATAATTTAGATAAATTAAATCAACGGTCCCCAAATTTCTCGAAATGGCTCAGTCCCGGGCAGCGACGGGCGGTGTGTACAAAGGGCAGGGACGTAATCAACGCGAGCTGATGACTCGCACTTACTTGGAATTCCTCGTTCACGGAAAATAATTGCAATTTCCGATCCCAATCACGGCAAATTTTCAATGGTTTACCCGCCCCTTTCAGGGTAGGACAAGCACGTTGATTTTGCCAGTGTAGCGCGCGTGCAGCCCCGGACATCTAAGGGCATCACAGACCTGTTATTGCTCAATTTCTTTCGGCTGAACGCCGCAAATCCCTCTAAGAAGCTGTATACACAAAGAGTATGTACCAACTATTTAGTAGGTTAGAGTCTCGCTCGTTATCGGAATAAACCAGACAAATCACTCCACGAACTAAGAACGGCCATGCACCACCATCCACTGAATCATGAAAAAGCTATCAATCTGTCAATCCTCACAGTGTCCGGGCCGGGTGAGTTTCCCCGTGTTGAGTCAAATTAAGCCGCAGGCTCCACTCCTGGTGGTGCCCTTCCGTCAATTCCTTTAAGTTTCAGCTTTGCAACCATACTTCCCCCGGAACCGGAAGACTTTCGTTTCCGGGAAGCTCCCCACCAAGGCAATATAATTTCCATCAGCGGATCGCTAGTTGGCATCGTTTACGGTCAGAACTAGGGCGGTATCTGATCGCCTTCGAACCTCTGACTTTCGTTCTTGATTAATGAAGACATTCTTGGCAAATGCTTTCGCTGTAGTTTGTCCGGCCACGGTCCAAGAATTTCACCTCTCACGGGGCCATACAAATGCCCCCGTTTGTCTCTGTTAACCATTATCTCAGTCCGTAAAACCAATAAAACTGAACCGAAATCGTTTTCTATTATTCCATGCACAATCATTCAAGCGAAAACGCCTGTTTGAAGCACTCTGATTTGTTCAAAGTAAACTTGCAATGACTGTTAAAAATCCTGTTAAGGACTCAAAACCGAACATTACGATAAATCGATAACACCCAGAAACACCCGAAGGGTTCCAAGGTACCGATACGAATCCAACTACGAGCTTTTTAACCGCAGCAATAATTCTATGTATTAGCAGAGCTGGAATTACCGCGGCTGCTGGCACCAGACTTGCCCTCTGCTTGATACTCGTTAAAGGGTTTAAATTGTACCCATTCCGATGACCGGCCTCAAAGAGAACAGTCTCGTTATTTCTCGTCACTACCTCCTCGAGCCGAGAGTGGGTAATTTGCGCGCCTGCTGCCATCCTTAGACGTAGTGGCCATTTCTCAGGCCCCTTCTCCGGAGTCGAACCCTGATCCTCCGTTATCCGTCACCACCACGGGAGTCGATTATGCTCCCGTCAAGTTGATAAAGTGGACGCTTGAAAGACACGCCGCCGGCACAAGGCCATGCGGTCAGCTTAGTTATTCTGAGTCAACAAGAAGCAGCCGAAGCCGCGTGGTTTTGTTCTAATAAATGCGCTTTTCCGAGAGGACAAAGCTCTGGTGCATGTATTAGCTCTAGCTTTTCCACAGTTATCCATTTAGATAATCAAGATCAAGTAAATCATGGCCATTGTAATGAGCCGTTCGCGGTTTCTCGTTAAAACGATTAAACTTATACATGCATGGCTTAATCTTTGAAATGAACACATCAGTTCAGGCAGGATCAACCAGATATCTTTTATTTAGGTAGTTAGCAGAGCTGGAATTACCCAGTCTGCGGGTAATTAAGCTGTCATTAATATTGATTATATTGATAATTTTAGAATAAAATCTCGAAAATAATCTGAAATTAAAAAATTAATGACAGCTTATTATATATTTAATCGATAAGCCACGCTTTCGCGGTCTGTATTCGTACTGAAAATCAAGATCAAGTAAGCATTTGCCTTTTTGCTCAACGAGAGGTTTCCGTCCTCTCTGAGCTCGCCTTAGGACACCTGCGTTACAATTTGACAGATGTACCGCCCCAGTCAAACTCCCCGCCTGACAATGTCAACGGCGCGAGTCAACCAACCACCGAGTGGCTAGTCTTAAAACAAAAATGAAGGTCCGTAGACACAACTCCCGTTTTACCGATTAAGTAAGGAATCGATGAAAGTAGTGGTATTTCACTGTTGTCTTACGACTCCCACTTATGCTACACCTCTCATGATTCTTCACAAAGTCAGACTAGAGTCAAGCTCAACAGGGTCTTCTTTCCCCGCTAAATTTGCCAAGCCCGTTCCCTTGGCTGTGGTTTCGCTAGATAGTAGATAGGGACAGTGGGAATCTCGTTGATCCATTCGTGCGCGTCGGTAGTTAGCCGACGAGGCATTTGGCTACCTTAAGAGAGTCATAGTTACTCCCGCCGTTTACCCGCGCTTAATCAAGTTTCCTTGGCTTAACATTCAGAGCACTGGGCAGAAATCAGACACGGTCAACGTCCTGCAAAGACCATCCGTCTCCTCTGTTTTAATTAGACAGTCGGATTCCCGGAGTTCGTGCCAGTTCTAAACTGGTTGTTCAGCGCCAATCGAAGTACTATATCTTGCGAAATAGTACGCAGCTGAAGCGCTCCACAAGCAGTCCTCACTACTAGTCCACAAGCGCCGCCCCGAAGGGAAGATCAAGCAGCCACGAGCAAAGTCCACCTGTTTCACACAACAGCCCGACTGACCCAACCTTTAGAGCCAATTCTTTTCCCGAAGTTACGAATCTAATTTGCCGACTTCCCTTACCTACATTATTCTATCGACTAGAGGCTGTTCACCTTGGAGACCTGCTGCGGATATGGGTACGATCAGGCTGGAGATTTTAAATTGCCTCCCTCGTATTTTCACGGCTCATGTGGAGCACACGGGACACAACAGGAACCGCTGCGCTTTACGAGACCAGCATCCCTATCTCAGGCTGAGCCACTTCCAGGGACATGATCTCTAAACCAGAAAAGAGAACTCTGGCCCGGACTCCACACGAGGTCTACGAGTTCGTTTGCGTCACCGCGCAAAGTAATCCTTGCGGATCACCATCTCCCATGCCTGGTGTGGGAATATTAACCCACTTCCCTTTCGGCAACCGAGTAGACAATATACCGTTAAGTATCTCATCTCCCCGCAGTGTCTATCTCATCTCCCCGCAGTGGTTTTTAACACCCAAAAACTTGCGCACACGATAAACTCCTTGGTCCGTGTTTCAAGACGGGTCGGATAGATGACCGGCTTTTACATGGGGAGCGAGTACGAGAGCATTAACTGGACCGATCTAAATGAAAAGCACGTGTCGCATGCGACCGTAACTTACAATCAGATCGAACCAATAAATGCCCGTAAACCATACTCAAATGTCCAAGACAAAAGATGCTAACGCTGTTTGGGTACCAGCAAGCTGGCCTCAAAACGGCGGTTACAAATCTGCCTCAAACATCCCCAAGCACCAAACAAGCAAATGCATCACAGAAAATTATGATGCTTCTTTCTGTCCCAATCTGGAGCTCAGAGATCACAACATAAAAATAATGTAAATGAATACTTGAAAGATACGCCGACTCTATCCGTTTCCACCTCTCCGGTTTCACGTCCTCTTTAACTCTCTCTTCAAAGTGCTTTGCAACTTTCCTTCACAGTACTTGTTTGCTATCGGTCTCGTGGCAATATTGAGTCTTAGATGAAGTTTACCACCGACTTTGGGCTGCGATCCCAAACAACCCGACTCTAAAGCACGTAAATATCGATCAATTATCTCAATGTACAGGACTTGCACCTTCTGTGGAACCCCTGTCAAGGGGACTTATTTGAGACAAAAGATTAAAAATTACGGCTTATACGCTACACCTCATAATGCCTTAGGCAAAATGATTTAGCGATGGACATTTCCCTATTCACTCGCCGTTACTAGGGGAATCCTGTTTAGTTTCTTTTCCTCCGCTTACTGATATGCTTAAGTTCAGCGGGTGCTCTCGACTGAGTTCAGGTCAAAAAATCAATATTGTTGATGATACATGCGAACAATTAAACATATCTAACAATCAATTTAAAACATAAAGAAGCCACAAAAGCAATTATACAATAAAGCTTTCGCTTTGAAAGATAATGACCCTGAACCAGACATAGCAAAGGGTTTGACCCCTATGCGGCAATATGCGTTCAAAACTTTTATGCTCAAGGCTGCTGCAGTTCGCAAAACTTATCGCAGTTTGCTGCGTTCTTCATCGATCCACGAGCCTAGTGATCCACCGGAAAGGCTAGGAATTTTGTTTTTTTTTAAATATAAAAAAAGAGTGCTGGCGTCCTCACTTAAGAGGCTCATTAAGTCTTAAACTCATTATAGTCCTAACATGTCACCACATATACAGCCACGGACGTTCACAACTGTATCAGCAACACCTAGACACCAGCGACAGCCGTTACACAACAATTATTTCATTGCGATTCAAAATTGAACATCACATAAAGTAATGATCCAGCAGCAGGTTCACCTACAGCTACCTTGTTACGACTTTTGCCCGGTTCAAGCCACTGCGATTAAATTGGTTTCCATCAAAATAATTTAGATAAATTAAATCAACGGTCCCCAAATTTCTCGAAATGGCTCAGTCCCGGGCAGCGACGGGCGGTGTGTACAAAGGGCAGGGACGTAATCAACGCGAGCTGATGACTCGCACTTACTTGGAATTCCTCGTTCACGGAAAATAATTGCAATTTCCGATCCCAATCACGGCAAATTTTCAATGGTTTACCCGCCCCTTTCAGGGTAGGACAAGCACGTTGATTTTGCCAGTGTAGCGCGCGTGCAGCCCCGGACATCTAAGGGCATCACAGACCTGTTATTGCTCAATTTCTTTCGGCTGAACGCCGCAAATCCCTCTAAGAAGCTGTATACACAAAGAGTATGTACCAACTATTTAGTAGGTTAGAGTCTCGCTCGTTATCGGAATAAACCAGACAAATCACTCCACGAACTAAGAACGGCCATGCACCACCATCCACTGAATCATGAAAAAGCTATCAATCTGTCAATCCTCACAGTGTCCGGGCCGGGTGAGTTTCCCCGTGTTGAGTCAAATTAAGCCGCAGGCTCCACTCCTGGTGGTGCCCTTCCGTCAATTCCTTTAAGTTTCAGCTTTGCAACCATACTTCCCCCGGAACCGGAAGACTTTCGTTTCCGGGAAGCTCCCCACCAAGGCAATATAATTTCCATCAGCGGATCGCTAGTTGGCATCGTTTACGGTCAGAACTAGGGCGGTATCTGATCGCCTTCGAACCTCTGACTTTCGTTCTTGATTAATGAAGACATTCTTGGCAAATGCTTTCGCTGTAGTTTGTCCGGCCACGGTCCAAGAATTTCACCTCTCACGGGGCCATACAAATGCCCCCGTTTGTCTCTGTTAACCATTATCTCAGTCCGTAAAACCAATAAAACTGAACCGAAATCGTTTTCTATTATTCCATGCACAATCATTCAAGCGAAAACGCCTGTTTGAAGCACTCTGATTTGTTCAAAGTAAACTTGCAATGACTGTTAAAAATCCTGTTAAGGACTCAAAACCGAACATTACGATAAATCGATAACACCCAGAAACACCCGAAGGGTTCCAAGGTACCGATACGAATCCAACTACGAGCTTTTTAACCGCAGCAATAATTCTATGTATTAGCAGAGCTGGAATTACCGCGGCTGCTGGCACCAGACTTGCCCTCTGCTTGATACTCGTTAAAGGGTTTAAATTGTACCCATTCCGATGACCGGCCTCAAAGAGAACAGTCTCGTTATTTCTCGTCACTACCTCCTCGAGCCGAGAGTGGGTAATTTGCGCGCCTGCTGCCATCCTTAGACGTAGTGGCCATTTCTCAGGCCCCTTCTCCGGAGTCGAACCCTGATCCTCCGTTATCCGTCACCACCACGGGAGTCGATTATGCTCCCGTCAAGTTGATAAAGTGGACGCTTGAAAGACACGCCGCCGGCACAAGGCCATGCGGTCAGCTTAGTTATTCTGAGTCAACAAGAAGCAGCCGAAGCCGCGTGGTTTTGTTCTAATAAATGCGCTTTTCCGAGAGGACAAAGCTCTGGTGCATGTATTAGCTCTAGCTTTTCCACAGTTATCCATTTAGATAATCAAGATCAAGTAAATCATGGCCATTGTAATGAGCCGTTCGCGGTTTCTCGTTAAAACGATTAAACTTATACATGCATGGCTTAATCTTTGAAATGAACACATCAGTTCAGGCAGGATCAACCAGATATCTTTTATTTAGGTAGTTAGCAGAGCTGGAATTACCCAGTCTGCGGGTAACTAAGCTGTCATTAATATTGATTATATTGATAATTTTAGAATAAAATCTCGAAAATAATCTGAAATTAAAAAATTAATGACAGCTTATTATATATTTAATTTCCTTTGCAAAAGATATCTAAATTATTTACAATTTATCAGCGGCACTTTCACAAAAGTTATCAATGGCAATTCCTGACAATTGTCTGGAGCCAAATAAATATTGCAGCTGGAGAAAAATTAGGATTATAAAGCTTATGATTATTATCAGATTTAGAATAAAGCTGCTTTAAAATATCTGATAATAAAGCTTAAAATAATAATAACATTAAATTTTTTAAAAAAATAAAGCTTATAATAATAAACTTTAAATTTAAAAAAAGATTAAAGTTTATTATTATAAGCTTTATTTTTTTTGAAAAATTTAATTCTTCAAAAAAATTTTTTTAATCCTAATTTTTCTCCCACACATTTTTATAATTGCCCGTTTTCTCTTTGCCTTAAACCATTCCCGCGAACAGCGAACAACAAATAGCCCCGCCCACTTTGCCTTAGAGAATTTTTTCTTAAATATTGAGAAATTGAAAACACAGTGATTACGACCATACCGCGTTGAAAGCACGCCATCCCGTCCGATCTGGCAAGTTAAGCAACGCTGGGCTTCCTTAGTACTTGGAA